ATGATTGTATATCAGTATAATATACTTATTCTGGAAATGAATTGTTGAATAAAGTTGTCATTTTTGTTTTCTTTGCACACAAAAAGTATTCTCGTAGCTTCGTAAAATTACGGTTGAGCCACTGATGGGAGATGGATTATTTTAACGATGTCCTTACTACGTTTCTGAGCCTCGATCGTGTTAGGATCCTTGCGGTTTATGAAGGGTCAGAGAGCTCTCGGAGTTCATCAGAAATATCTTAAATTGTGTTCTGAAGATGAACGAAGCTTTTACGGGTTTGGAACGACATGGGGGTAAGTGATTAATGACAAAATTTTCATTTCGAGTAATTAATGACAGAATTTTCATTTTGGGGTGGAGTACCCCTTTAATTTTCAAAACGTTAAACCCTCAAACTTTGACAAAAAAGCTTCTCTTGTCTAAAGCTTTAATCTAATTTCAGTTTTATTTTGATGAATCGTGCAGCAATACCAGATTTGCTCCAAAACCTAGCGCGCTGATTTGCAGTCTGCGGCCCACACGCTCAAAGACGACTGATGTGAAATGAGCGATAGCTAGTGTGACTGTTACGTGTCAGCAGCATGAAGATACCTCGGTGAGGTAGAGCACTTGTGAAGCGGACGGGCCAAAGAAGCGTGAATCCAGAGTGGGACTCAGACTGTTCTCTCCCAGCTTAGCGTGATCCAAACAGATCGCTCGCAGGTTCTCCACTGTAGTGTTATCTGTGAACACAAGCAGCACATTTCAGTGACCCTCACAGCCAGACCGCATGCTACACAGCAAGTCATCATGATGTTTGCTGCGACCTGGAGGCATGAGCTTCATGAGCACTCGAGCTCCGTCTCGCAGTAGCGGCATGCTCAGGGTGCAGCCCAGATCAGCGATCTGCCACAAGAAGGAGATATAGCGCAGATGCAGCGACATGATCTGAGGAGAGAAGAAAAACAGTCACCTCAACAAGACGTGCTGACAGACTATTCTGTGCGTCAGACCAGAAATTACAACTCTGGCCCATACCAATAACCTGATAACCAATAAATGACTGATATTCCACAGGATTTTGTCAAAATCAATGACAAATATAACACTAATAACTAAAATCAATTGTTTTACATGTACAATATGCATTAATAAACCTCAAAACGATTCAGATTTAACAGTGTATTAGAAGTAGAGCTGCACGATTAATCGTTAAAAGATTGCGATCTTGTTTCAGTCACCCACACGATCTAATTTCGCCCGTGTCTATTAAATCTTTGGAAAAAGTCATACTGAAGAGAGAGAGAGAGAGAGAGAGAGAGAGAAGTTACCGTGTTTAGGTAAGAAACAGCTTCACAAACAGTATTTTTCTGTCTTACAGTCATTCATGTTATCACAGAAATACTGGGATGAAAGGTTATAGTTTGGATATAAACACTGATGTCTAAGGTAGCGATCAAAATAGAGCAAGGCTTCTTTTGAAAGTAACTGGTGCTTCAAATAACGTTTGTGTCGATTGCATCGCTTCTCCACTAGGTGGCGACAAGTGCCCGTTTAAAAATGTATTTGTCATGGAATCATTCATTCAAGAGATTCGTTCAAAAACGCTGATTTATCCAGTACTGAAACAAGTGAAGTATTTATGAGTGAGTCATTGAATCATTCATTCAAATCACTTTTTCATAAAATTAATATAAAAAATTGGTGTATTAAATATATATTTTAAATACATATATTAGTTATATATTATCTAATTTGTAAGTCGCTTTGGATAAAAGCGTCTGCTAAATGACTAAATGACTAAATGTAAATATATTAAAATGTTTAATAATTAATTCAAATTAATTAAAGAATCATGGGAGAATCATGATCTCTATTTGAGACAAAAAAATCGTGATTTTCATTTTTTTCCAGAACCGTGCAGCTCTAATTAGAAGATTTATAGGTTTATATTAGTGCTGTCAAAATTAGCGCATTAATGCAGGCAATTAATTTTTCTAGTTTAATGGCGTTAAAATTATTTAACGCAGGGACGGAGCTAGGGTTAGCCACCCCACGCACAACTGCTGTTTCGGTCTCTTTTTTCTTGACAAGAATTGCATTTATTTAGACGCAGAACATCTTTACGAGCACATCAAACAGGAGACCTTTCAGACGCGAGCTCCAACTTCACCTCAAACGAGTGCAGAAATGGTACAGCTTCAGTAGAACATTCATTATTTCATATTAAAGCACGAATGAAACTACGAGCATGCGTGTCAGATCTGTGTCACGTTCAGCAGCGGCAGCTCTTAAAGTAATAGCAGCCAAATAACCTAATAACCCAGCTGCTGTGATGTCTGTTCATCAAACACAAGAAAAAAAAGAGGAAATCAATAACTTTTGTAGCTTTAAGGATTCATCTATTTCATTTAGAATTTAGTGTTTGATAACTTCATTCAATTTCTGTATATTTCCTACTTGCTGAAGGGCACAGGTAGCTAAATATGATATTTATTATAATGGGTTTATGTGAAGATTGTTTTAAGTTCAATTAAATTAGAAGTAGTTATTTTTTAAAGTCTAATAATATTAAAATTGATAGTTCTCAATTATACTGTAATGTTGGATGGCTATAGTCAATGGTTAAATATTAATAAAAGTATATTTATAAACTTTGATGTTAGTTGGGATTAATCACGATTAATTTAAGAAAAAATGTGATTAATTAGTAAAACATTTTTTAATTGTTTGACAGCACTAGTTTATATACTTAAGACTTTCAGTGAAAGTCTTTTTCTTTCTAAAAACTATAATTGACAGCATATACAAACATAAATCTATACTTTATTAATGCAAAAAAATATATATATTTACATAATAAAAAATATTAAAAATTACAATTCCCCCAATCTGGACAAAGTTACAAATGTTCTCTCACTTAAACAACTCTCAAAATAAAGTGCTCTGTGACTAGAAAAGAGGTAGAAATAACAATGAACTGAAAAGGAGTTGCTGTATATAACAGATGTCAGTTCCCACTATGTTTATTTTTTCCCTAACCTTATTAAATGTGTCATTTTCACGTCAAATTCTCACATTGTTTCAATTAATTCAGTTAGAATAATAAGAAACTGTGGAGCTGTTACTATTCAAATCAACAAACTCCATCTTTCCACAGGAGCTGCATCTGAAGTGGCATTAGATGCATTTACAGACTGTTTGATGAAGATGTCTTTATGAATGGTTTACTGAATCATTGACTCACTTGATTTGTTCAAAAACGTGCATTAATTCAGTAACGAAACACCGCTGTGTTGCTCGGAGACACACAACAGTTCTGCTGTGGCTTTGACTGGAACTATTTTCGTCAACGAAACTGAGCAAAAACAGTCAATATTGTGTCTGAAATGTAAGTCACTTAATTTTAACTTCTTGTTTATTGAACTACTATTGTATAAAGTGTGAAGCACAAACATGGCTCTCACCACTCCTGGCAAGCAGCTCTCCACCTCGGGGTTCGGGCCATCGCTGTAGTGGTTTGTGTGGTTCCTGGGCGAGCCGGTGGACGAGTCGGACGAGCTGTCGGGGCTGGAGGGCATGTTGGTGCTGACCTGCGTGAGCTTCGCTGTGATGAGCTACAGAAAGAGTCAGAGTTTTAGCAGCTCATCTCTGGACGCTTCACGTCAAATATCAGTATATACTAGGGGTGTAATGGTACACGTATTCATACTGAAAATGTGTATATGTGTACCGAACAAATCTTTTTAAATTTTTTCAGGAAATTTAAAGAATACCATTTTGGCGCTCTTTGATGTGGCGAGACAGATCGCTGTATAGAAGCCTCAGTTCTAACTCAGTTCCTCTTTACAACTAGTTTCTAGTTTTAATGTGAAATAAACATGAATGAACATCTCATGCCTCGTGTAATCTAATCACTCAATCATGTTTCAACCGCGGAAAGACGTCATTAAAACAGCTTGTAAACAGAATGTCACGCAGCATTTCATTTCCCTCAGGCAAGTCATCAGTGTCCAACAGCTCGTTATTTGCTCGAGAAATTAGCATTTTGAGAAATATTAGACTATACACTCGTTATATTTTACTTTACCTGTTAGTGATGTCTTAACCATTTAATGTATATTTAAATAAACCTTTTATGAAACAAGTTATGACAGCCACTGTGTAAATGATTATACTTAAACAACAAATAGAAATTGTATAATTTAGAAATTATGTGCAATTTACATGTTTGCGTACACATTTTTAATTTGAGTGTCGATTATTATAGTTAAAAATAAATAGTAATTGAATTTAAATTTGGGCTCTGTTGTTAATTGTAATCTTATAGTACTGTAAAAGGGCTCCCTATGGTTCAGAGGAGAAGTTATTAAAATTATCATTGTAATTGAATTTACTTAAAGAAAAAGCAATTTGTGCAGTAAACTAGTGTTACTACTGGCACTGCTGTACCGAAACCATACCGAACAGTGACGTCAAAACCGAGGTAGCGTCATGTTTGTGTAGCGTTACACCCCTAACATACACACTGAGACATCTGTAAAGCTCACAGTTTTATCTTTGAGGTTGAGCTGTCCAATCAGCCGGCGGTCCTCAGCGGGGTCCACGATCTCTCCTCCAATGAACAGCTCTACTTTAGTGTGTGTGCTGTTGGCTTTGATGCGAGAGAGGATGCAGCGGCGGACCGAGCCAATGGTGTCGTTGGTGTGGGACCAGATGTCCAAGTCCTCCACCTGACGGCCCTGATTGGGAAACCTCACCACCAGAGTGATGTGCTTCCCACGGAACGCCCTGGAGCGCAGACACAGACAACACCAGAAAGCAGTTCAGACCCTTTTGTCACTGTTTGGCTTCCTACTGCATGTGTTCAAGTCTGCATGAAATGTAAATTCACCTCATCTGTTTTCTAAATGCAAGTTATAGATCATACGGTGAAGAATCTAAGCATGTTTCATTTAAAAAAAAAAATGTTCTGACCTTGTTTAATTAAAATGTGAGCCGTGCTGGAAAAATAAGTGTGAATGCACACAGGCTAATTTTGAGCTACAGACAAAAAAAAAAGAAGTGTTTTTTCAATTTTGGTTGAATTTCAGGTTTTCACAAAAATGACTTGATTAAACCCTCGTCTAGCAATCCCAATGCTCCAAATAGTAATTAAACATCTAAAATTATCTTTATTTGTACGTTTTTTGAGAGGAGTACTATTTTCTCTGCTCTCTTCGTGCGCTGCCGCTGACTGATAATAATAATTGTGCATAAACTATGATGGAAACACATTTACTGAATAACTTCCACCATGTGCATCGAACAAGTCATGTGATTTGCGCTATGAGACGGGATAACTCGACTAACCAGCGGACCGATCTCGTTCACAGCATCTATATGTTGTTCTGAAAGGCCTGAGCAAAGCCTGTCGTTAAAGTATTTCTGTATAATTGTCTTAAAGGGGTCATATGATGCGATTTCAAGTTTTCCTTTCTCTTTGGAGTTTTTAGCAGCATCATATGACCCCTTTAAACGACTGTGTTCCCAAACAGCAGCATCCTCCTCCGAAAGCATTGACCGCATTTATTGTGTTTCGTCTGCTCGCTCTGAGGCGCAAGTCATTTATCACATATTAAAATTATTATATTCAGTGGCTTCTTCTAGTTTTCTGTGTGATATTTAGAGCCAGTTTATCAGGAAGTGACGATTCTGTTCTCTTTGACTCGCTGCATGGAAACGGTGCTTTATTCACAAATGTTTTATGCGATATTCCAGTTTTGCGCATGAGTTAAATTTGAATGTTTGTATGTAGACACAGCTAGTGTGCTGAAGTACAGAAGGTCTGGTATAACTGCAGCAGGCACCTGGACATGGGCAGGATGGTCCTCTCCTCGTGGTAGTCGCTGTCACACTCGGTGATGTACTCTCTGAGCACCGTCAGAACGCGCACCATGCGTATGGCCTCCTGTCTGGCGCAGTTAATGCTGTCCTTATCTCCGTCCAGCACACACAGCGTGTCGTACGAGGCCTTGAGCCGGTCGAAGCACGACTGGATGAAGTCCTCGTGGATCTCCACCTGTAAATGATAACCGCAGCGGATCAGACGTGATTTAGCGGCGTGTTAGCGGCTGGCGGTCGGGCGAGGAACACCGGCTCACCTGATTCACCTGTAGCTTTGGTCCGAGGTTGGTGTATATTTCTTTCAGCAGGTCTATGGCTCGAGTGGCGATGTCATCACTGCCTTGAATCACGAGCTGTGGAGAAGAAACCAGATGAAATCACAGTAAAATCTGAATAACATGATCTGGATGAGCAGCGTTCACACTGCAGCTGAATGCTAGGTGCGTTTCCATTACAGATATGCACAAAATGTCAATTAAAAACTAATCGGTTTCCATTAACCGATGTTATGCAACTAAACCGTAATTTTTTCCTCTTGCGATAAGTCTGATGTTGGTAGGTTTATGTGTATCGCAGCCACCGCACTAACCATTATCTTTAACTGAAGGAGACTGAAGCCGCTTCTGAAACATGCCGTTTCTTGGAGGTTATAGAACATTAAAGAATAATTATGTGGCTTTTAGGTATGCCAAGTGAGCTGTAAATGCAAAAAAAAAAAAAAGGTTTCCATTGCAGTTTTCCTTTTTCACCACTTCATGCGAGCGTAAAAACTTGTTTGCAATATATGGGAGTTTTTGCAAAATTGACGTGTTTCCTTTGGGTGTATTTTCAATTCGCAATTTGAAGGGTAATGGAAACGCAGCTTTTGTGAACTCAGTTCTTCACCGAACTCTAACCCAGCTAATGACACACAGCCGCTGTAGCAGATTCAGGGCTGGGCGATTTTTCAGATATTATGAATTAATTTGAATTAACTTTTTTTAATGAAGGCTTTACATTAAAATACTTGCAAATTCTACAATTAGACAATACACCAGGTAGGGTTGGGAATCGAAAATCAATTCCAATTCCAGAATCAGATACTTCTTGTAAACACCTATCAATTCCTGTGTGTGCATATTTTATTTTCAGCTGGCGAAAAGGGGCTGTTCAAAATGTATTTGTCTTTGAATCATTCATTCAAAAACACTGAATCATCCAGTAATGAAACAAGTGAATCTTGAGTGAGTCATTGAATCATTCATTCAAAAACACTGAATCATCCAGTAATGAAACAAGTGAATCTTGAGTGAGTCATTGAATCATTCATTCAAGAGATTCATTCAAACACACTGAATCATTCAGTAATGAATCAAGTAAATCTTGAGTGAATCATTGAATCATTCCATTCAGAAATTCCGAGATTTTGTTAGTTGTCTAATATTTTTTCTTCAGAATTGTGAGAGAACTACAACCTCCATAAAAAAAAAAAAGTCGATTTATCCAGAATCGTGCCGCTCTATTTTTGCACACAAACAGCTCTTAATCGAGTCCAGTTTTTATGCAGCCGGCTGATTTTTGTTCTTGGTATTCAGCAGCAATTAAATGTTTTGCAAAAAAGAAACAGAATAAATAGGTTTGATATCTAAATGTTTGTGATACGAGTGCATGATCGTCAGGTGTTACCCTCCAGAGGTAGTCGAGCCCGATCAGCTCCAGGTCGTCCATCATGTACGCCCTGCGTTTGGCCACCAGCTTGCCCTCTCTGCAGTTCACAGCTTTGAAGAAGCGCTCGAAGCACTTCATGCCGTTCTCCGTGAGCAGCGTGGGGTCCAGCTGCAGCACGTTGTTCTCAAAAAAGTCCTTGTTGATGTCGGGGTCCAGATCCGGCTCGTCACCCATGAGCTTGGAGTACCACTTAAAGCAGGCCTCGCGTACGTGGCTGTACCGGCTTCCCGCTCGAACCGTCTGAGGATCAAACTCTGTATGCTCTGAGCCAAAGAATTACAGTGAAAGTTGGCTTTCATTTACTGCAAAACTGGAAGCAAAACTGCATCTGCTGCTAGCTGACACACACCTCTGGAGAACTGCCTCATGTTGTCCATGTACGCAGACAGGTTCTCAGCCACCAGCGTGACGAGCGCGTGATTGTGCTGGAGCTGGTTGATCAGATCGTGACGGTAGAAGACGTGTGGACTCCTCTGCGTCTGACTGCTTGAGAGATGAATGATAATCACACACCGCCGACAGACGGGACAACCTCATGAAGACACCTGCTCCACGACTCACCTGAGGTTCTGAGGAGCTTCTCCAAACAAGCTGCAGATCTCCCTGATCTGCTTCAGAGCTGGAATCACCCACTTATCATTCGTCCGGAGCTCCTCGATGAAGCGGTCGATCCACTGCATCTTCTGATTGTCGCGGTCCTGTGGCAGAAACCCGGCGGTGAGTGACGGCACTACGGGTGTGAATCCTCACTGGAGTCACGATTCGGTTACGATTATCATGTCAACGATTCGATTCGATATCACGATGCATCACGATGAGTCTCATCCTCAATATTCAGTATTACAGCACATGGCTACATTTTTCATATCAAATTTATTTTGTGCATTTTCATTAAATTACATAAGCAGGCTACTCTTTAAAATAATTACAAATGAATAATAAATCAAAACAATTGTTAAGAATTTAACCAACTAAAAATAGCTTCAAAACATACAAGCCAATATAAAGTAATAAAGGGGGAAAAGACAATTACAAGTGATTAACAAAACGTACTTTCAGTATCTGAGAGTGTTCTAAGAATCCGAAAGTTTACAGACAATCGTAGTTATGGGTTTTTCTTTTTCCCTCAGCATTATTGCTGTTTGATTATTACTGATGAGATCACAGACAGTGGCAGCTTTAATAGACTGCATTCACACTAATGCACAGATCTGCTTCCACATATCAGATGTTTTGTGCTGTTCTGAAAACATAACTCAGTGTTTACATCAAGTTCCCATCATAAAAGTATTCAGAGACGCAAGTGTGTTTAACCCAGCCGCGATCGAGCTTCAGGACAAACACACACAAAGCGCAGTGAAAGTCTGTCAGTACGTGAGTTTGTGCATCTAATACGTACTGCCCTCCAAACGACAGAAATGAAAGCATATCTACAGTAAAACACTGAAATAGTGGCGAGTGGAAGCAAACACTGTCAAGCAATGGATTTTAAAATAGTGGGTGCATTTTTTAATACTCGCGTGACAAGTGCGTATGTGAATGACGTCAGAAGGCTATAATCAATTACGGTCCATTACTGCATCGATGCTGCATTGTGATGCATCGTAGACACGATTGATTTCAACACCCCTAGACGGCACACAGGTGCATGATGGGAAGAGATGCACTGAAACTCAAGGTCAGACCTGCGAGCAGCTGTAGTCCAGGATCTTGATGTGGGCGCTCAAAGCCTGGTCCATGATGTCGACGGGGACGTCATCACTGTGTGCCAGGTTCCACAGCAGGTTGAGCACTTTGTGAGCCATCACTCCGTCCTTATCGTCCTCCGCCAGCCTGCGGATCAACTCCAGAAGCTTCTCCCGCTGCTTCTTACCAGCGTTCGTCCAACTGGCCTGCATCAGAACGCACTGATTTATCACAGCATCCTCACAACAAAAGCACCCTGTATTACATGATGAGTGTGACGGCGGCTGCTCACCTTGAAGCAGTCGAACAGGTGATCGAGCTGCTCCGGGGAAAAATCCCACGCTAGCTTGGCCAACAGATCGTGGACGTTCTTGACGATCGCTTCGTGTTTACCAGCCTGAGAAAACATGACACAGTAATAATAAACCTTACCTAGTCTACAACAGACTTCAGACTGAAAGCAATCCAAATTGAAACTTTACGCACGTGCTTCTTTCTGGACACTTAATATTTGGCAATATAATTGACTTGATATCAAAGACAGTATTGGAACTGAACTGAGCTGATGATGACATCACGGTTTTCTCCAGAGCTGCTTTATAGATTAATTAAACAATTTACAAAGTTATTAAACTGAACTGAATCAACAATAAACTGACTTTAACTGAAAATTGACTGTTTTTAGAGCTGCTTTACAGCAGAAATTAATTTTGTTTGCATTATTGAAACACTATTTTCCTGTTTAACACTATAGAGCTGCTTTGACTATAAAGCGCTATAGAAATAAAGGTGACTGGTGCTGGAGTCCATTCCTGAAACACAGAAAAACTGGTTTTCTGATTCCTTTCTGGTCTGACACTAAGACACTTTTCCGTCAGGGAATCATGCGGAAAAATGTTGTCACCAGGAAAAGTTTTCCCAGCAGTAACAACAGTTTAGCCAGCTAGGAACTGCATTACCATCTGTGTGAGGGAGTACACATCAATGAGAGAAAAGTCTACAGGAAGACATGTAGAGAAATACTGAACGGCTGGCTTCATTCAGACTGATGTCACTGGGATCATGGGCTGGTTAACTGGTATAACCGTAACTAGTTAGGTTAGTCGTGTGGCTGCAGTGATGAACCTGAGCCGCCCAGATGTTGTCGAGGTCCTGCAGGGTCAGAGCTTTCTCCTTAATGACGAAGCGCAGGATCTTCTCCAGCTTCTCCACGTACTGCGGCTGGTGCAGACTGTCTCTCAGCACGATGGACAGAATGTTGTTCTGCTGAATCCATTCCTGAACACAAACAACATCATGAGCACTTCCTGTAGCAGCGCATGACTGAGTACAGGAAGTGTCTAACACACACACACACACTCTCTCACACACACTCTCTCACTCGCTCACTCACTCGCGCGCACTCACTCACTCAAGTCAAGTCAAGTCTGCTTTATTGTCAATTCTTCCACATGTACAGCACATACACACAGAGAATTGAAATTGCGT